CCTGGGCTGGGGGGGATACAACATCCTAGCAGAAAGACTGGGATACTAGAGACAAATTTCTTTCACTCGGGAATCGAATTCAGGCCTGTGCGACAGCGAAGCGTCTAACCGCTGTGTCACAGAGACCAGTAAACTAAAAACAATGTCAAAACTGTCAAGTACTGAAATGCAACAAGCGCATACTCCAATGGTCAAACTTTTATATATATATCAAAACTGTCAAGTATGAAATATAACGCGGTCACATTTCAACGGTCAAACGTCTCTCTTGACCAGGTGTCCAGTGTAGACAGCTACAAGACGCTCCAGATCATCTCCGACCTGGAACAGGAAGTGGACTGGCTGTTTGGGGTCACGGCCGAGAACGAGGTCGGCCCAGGACCCAGAGCCGTCACCTCCAAGTCTGTCAAGCTGGACAAACCTGTTGGTGAGTACATCTACCTACTGGGGGGGGGGGTTGTCTTTTTAATTTTTTTATATTTTTGGGTTTTTTTTTAGCTTTTTTTTATTTCTGTGGTTTTCTTTTCTTTCTTTCTCGGTTTTGTTTTTTTTGGTTGTTATTTTTTATTTTTTTTTTTGGGGGGGGGGAGAGATATTTGTTTGTTTGTTTCTGTGTGGAGTAGTTGATAATATACCAGTATGAATGGGCAACATAGACCTGGTCAGTGGCCGTTTTCCTGGAGTTTTCTACTCTATTCACGCACTTACTGAGACGTTTCCATCTACGTGTGTGTAGGCAATAGGAACTATTTTTTCAAGTGATATTGAAATAAAGCCATACTTTATAATTTCCTCTTATTGATGAGGGACGTTCTATAAGTCTTACCCTGAGTATGAGGGAATTGTCAAAAAAACTAAGACACTTGCAGAATGTAATTTCTATTTTTCTGGAACGCTGTGTATGGAGTTTTTAGGATTTGCGATTTAAATTTAATTAAGGAAGTTCTTGAATTTATTTTTCCACGACAGTAAAATTCTCGCTAATATGTAACTAAAACTTAGTGCTCTTCAATAACACCACTTATCTCCAGCACTTGTATGACCTTCTTGTTTTGCAAGGGTTGTAAACCTATTAGTTAAACTATTACTAAGTGGGGTTTTGGTGGGTGCTCTGGTGTGGTTTGCTTCTTCTTTCCTATCAAACATCTATCGTCCTTATCTCCCCTTCTTCTTTTTTATGTTTGTTGCTCTCTTGTA